TATACATATATGTTTATATATCAGAGTACAGACGCGCGTACCTCCTGCCTGCGTCTGGTGGACTGCATCGGCCATCAGCCTCGCCATGGCTTCCTTGCCAGCCCTATTCGTCCTATCTACTGCCAGAAGTCGTCTTAAAGACTGCACTGCTTCAATAGTTCGGCCCATCTGCTCGTACGCCTGGGCCTCGCGATATAAAGCCTTGCCATCGCGTACGTTACGAGCAAGAACGTATTTGCACTGCTTCAAAGCCTCCTCTGGTTGTTTCTGCAGAGGCATGAGTGCAAATAAATCCATTTTTAGTAGAATTTGGAAACGAACCATAGTTCATGATATCGTGTTTTGCTCCGTAAGGTATACGTGCGACTTGATATTTGAGATTCAAGCTTTGGGCAACAAAAAGCTCGGCTCATACAGGTGCACATAAGCATCATTTCACGCTAGATAGGAGTCCACCTGAGACATATTGGCTGGACAGAATCCAACACGCACATCTTTGTTAGTTCTATGTATCATACATAGGCACATAGCCAAAATATGCAGAGCATGCAATACAATTGAAAATAGAGGATACGTCCATATTGATGAAATAGCAGAAACATGCAGAGTATACAATACAATCGATAGTAGAGCACGTATCCTATGGAGAGCTCATATAGAAAAATAGCAGAAATATGCAGGTTACTTCATTGTAATCAACAACAGCTAACGATCATATCTCAGCTGACCTCACATACCATATTGATGAAGTTTTAACAGTAGGAAACGTATTGCATTGATAATCAACAGTAGAAAACGTATTGCATAGATAATCAGCAGTAGAAAACATATTGCATTTCAACTCAGACATCACGTACCATATTGATGTGGCAAACGGCCATATTGCGACGTAGAGTCACCTCAAGGTCCGCCTCAGGTGACAATTCAAGCGCACTCTGGTACACCTTGATCGCCTGCGTGTATTTCTTGGTCTTAAATAACGCATTGCCTTCCTCTTTGTATTCCAGAGCAGTTGTTGGCACATTCCCAGCCATCTGGTAACATCAAATTGGATTGTATAAGTACAATGCAGCGATAGCAAGGTTACCTATGGTTATGAGGTATCAATAAACACTGCTCCTATATAATCTTGCACAAACTTGACAAAAATAT